GATAATTAGAAATACTTAATGCCAGCCATCTTTCAAAGTCAACGGTTAAAAAAAACCATTGAAGGAGGGGATCAAAAAGTTTATCAACGTCTTTTCCCTTCAAACACATGTATATGGCTCTCATCCTTATCCTTATTTAAGAGAGGTCAATCTTTTTTTCCTGTTGGGGGGGGGGTCCAAATTTTTTTTTTTTGATTCTTCTACAAAGAAATTTAGTAACATTGGCCATAACTTTTGATTAATACATTTCTTTGGATACCAAACTTTTTATTTCTCGACCTTGGAGTTTGACCTGCATTTGAGACAAGTTAACATTTGCCATTAGATGCCAGAAGCAGACATCAGAGTTTCAAAAACATATCTTGTTTTATTTCAAAAGAGCAAAAGTTTATTTGAATAAGGTTTCAGTTGTTTATATATCAAAAACGTTTCTCTCGATAGTCTTGATAAGAAATAGAGTAAATGCCGCGATATATGGCTTTCATCGACGAGTACTCATTCTTAATTTCTAAAAAAAAAAAAAAAGTTGAACAGCTGTTGGGTTAAAAACAACAATATCCAAGACAATAAATTGGAGGAGATCAATGTTCACGGCTGTAGTTTCTCTGACGTTTTAAGAGGGTTGGGTGGATGTGGCCATTTTCAGACTATATTGATCTCCTTTAGAAGAAGAGCTCCATAGAAAAATATAAAAATTGACAAAATTTTAAAGCTAAAATGCATGAAATTTTTGTTTGCCAAAAGATAGTTGACACCTTAAGATAATTAAGTTAAATCAGATGTTTAATTTTGTGTCCCTAGCCCCCTTAAAGATTTTTTATTACATTAGTGGTTACACTTATCTTCTTATAAAATGCTTTGATTAAAGTTTATGGTTTCAAATTTTCCACGCCTCAGAGAAAATGATTCAGTTTAATCTTTTTTATGTTAATATTATACCGATTGAGTTTCCATATGACAGAATCCGCTTTTTATGCTTCATTGACCTCAGTCCTGAGTTTATTATCAGTAGGCCACGTCCCGGCGTTCTTAAACTCCTGCAGTCACCATGAATCGGTCCTGTAAAATAGATTTAGAATATCCTACTAGCAATGAGAGGTAAGTATAAAATACATTATTTCAAAATTTTAATGCGAATTTAAAAATGGAGGATTTGATTAATAAACTTACGATGCAGCTTTGTTTATTAAGAATTAGGGATCTTTATTAACAGTGATGTGGACTTGTAAACATGTGAAAAAAAGAAAAGAATATTTATTCTAAAAGTATCAATATTCTAAAAAGGAGGTTATTAAAGTTTAAAAATAAATAAAACCAAAAAAAAAAATCGTATTATCAAGCAACAAAAGGATACTAGTAGTTCCGTCTCCTGTCTTGTCAGATATAACTTTAAAATTTAGCTCCAGGTCACACATTTTTTGTATTTTTGTACGACACACCTGACCTGAGTGAATATAATATGTTAAAAAAAAAAATGGAGATGGTTTCCTTCTTTTAAATTTATTTAAATTTTGAATCTTTTCCAAATTAAACATGAAGCGTAATTGATTGTATTGAACTTCATTTTGTTTAAAAAAAATGCTTTTAATCCAATTTCAAGATACTTTCCAAATTTGTATGGATGAAAAGAGCATTTTAAAAAAAAGATTTTATGATTGTCTGATAAAATTTTAAGGTTTTTCCACCCTTACCATTTTAATGGTTAATTAAAAGTACAAATATTGAAATTATTTGCATTTATTAAAGTTTAGATTTAACAATTATTTCCAGAAATGTATAGGTCGCCATATTATTATACCCCCCGCAAATGAAGTTTGGGGGGGTATATAGTAATCACCTTGTCCGTCTGTCCGTCTGTCCGTCTGTCTGTCTGTCTGTCTGTCTGTCTGTCCGTCCGTCCGTCTGTCTGTCTGTCCGTCTGTCTGTGCAATCGTGTCCGGTCCATATCTTTCTTACAGAGGGACATTAGAATCTACTACTCCACACTAAGATTGCTCATGACCTAAGGGTGTGTCATGACCTTGACACAAGGTCATTCGGGGAAGTTCAAGGTCACTGGAAGAAAAATTTCATAATTCGTGTCCGGTCCATATCTTTCTTATGGATAAACTTGGTAGGTTCTCATTTCACACAAAGATTGCCCATGACCCAAGGATGTGTCATGACCTTGACCCAAGGTCATTTGGGAAAGTTCAAGGTCACTGGAAGAAAATTTTCATAAATAATGTTTAATACATATCTTTTATAGATAAACTTGGTAGGTTCTCATTTTACACAAAGATTGCCCATAACCCAAGGATGTTTCCTGACCTTGACCCAAGGTCATTTGGGAAAGTTCAAGGTCACTGGAAGAAAATTATTTATATTCCCTGTCCAGTCCATATTTTTCTTATAGATTAACTTGGTAGGTTCTTATTTTACACAAAGATTGCCCATGACTCAAGGGTGTGTCATGACCTTGACCCAAGGTCATTTGGGAAAGTTCAAGGTCACTGGAAGAAAATTATTTATATTCCCTCTCCGGGCCATGTTTTTCTTATGGATAAACTTGGTAGGTTTTCATTTCACACAAAGATTGCCCATGACCCAAGGGTGTGTCACGACCTTGACCCAAGGTCATATAGGGAAGTTCAAGGTCACTGGAAGAAAAATTTCATAATTTGTGTCCGGTCCATATCTTTCTTATGGATAAACTTGGTAGGTTCTCATCTCACACAAAGATTGCCCATGACCCAAGGGTGTGTCATAAACTTGACCCAAGGTCATTTGGGGAAGTTCAAGGTCACTGGTAGAAAAATTTCAGAATTCGTGTCCGGTCCACATCTTTCTTATGCATAAACTTGGTAGGTTCTCATTTCACACAAAGATTGCCCATGACCCAAGGGTGTGTCATGACCTTGACCCAAGGTCATTTGGGGAAGTTCAAGGTGACTGGTAGACAAATTTCATAATTCGTGTCTGGTCCATATCTTTCTTATGGATAAACTTGGTAGGTTCTCATTTCACTGAAAGATTGCCCATGACCCAAGGGTGTGTCATGACCTTGACTCAAGGTTATTTGGGGAAGTTCAAGGTCACTGGAATAAGAATTTCATAATTTGTTTTTGATACATATCTTTATTATGGAAAAACTGACTTCTGAAAAACCCAGCGGGGGGTATTTTGTCCCGTTTGGACAGTTCTAGTTTAAGATGGGAGACGTAAATATGTCAACATAAAAAATCGTACATTTTTTGTAAACTGCAGTATCATAATTATTATGTAGAAACTGAGTAAAATGCATAATTATGATGCTGAAAGTTCCTAAAACTTTCTACTTATAAGATACTTTTGAATTGTGAATATCAGGGAAACTATTTTACATTAGAAGTACAATAAAGAAAATGCCTAAATGAAGCTACATGAGCAGGAGTTATTGCCCTTGTCAACATTTTTTTTTAGATTGCATAATTGATTAAATAAAGGAAATATGCATTTTTTAAAATTCTTTTACTTAACAATATTTATCATTACACCTATGGAAAATCATTCTTCCAAAATATATATTGTTCTACTGGGTATGAATTTAATTTAAGAACAGTTTTTGCAAAATCCTATGACATCACAGGGGGGTGGAATTACCTTAAACGTAAATTTATCATGATTCTGGACCTGATCTGAACATGATCTGTTTACTCATCGCTTAATTTATTCAGTTCTTTATATTTACAAATTGCATGCGACCTAAAGAAGCTCTCACATATAACTAGACCAGATACAAACAAGAAAATTACTGTTCAATTTCAAGGATGATTTAGAATCAGAGGGGTCAAATGCAAGTTTAATAGACGGTATGAAAATTCAAAAGCAGTCGAATTTTCCAACTTCGTTGACTCTTTCATACAGCTTTTGAGAACATACAATACCGAATCTAGCAATAATCATGGCACGTCAAATTCACAAAAATGAGCTAATCATAGTTTCACAGTTGATAAACTATGTTTATCGACTGTAAACTATAATTTACGGTCCGTTAACCACAGTTAACGATGCTAATCTATATATCTCACCTGTAAACTATAGTTTACGCGATAATCTGTATTTTACAAGCGTACAATATAATTAACATTGAAAACAATCATTTAATTGCGACCGCAAAATATAGTTTATCTGACAAATATGTAGTTTCACAATATGTAAACGATGGTTTACATATCTAAAATATCCTTACGTTAACAAATGTAAATTATAGTTTAGGGTTTGTTAAATATAGGTTAAAGACATTCAAAGCGCCGAATTTACAAAAAATTGTGATAAACATAGTTAAGCATATGAGAAACAGTTTAGGAACAGAATCTCGTATTTTGTAAATAGAGATGCACAATTTTCTGTGAAACGATTTCAAGACTCTAAACCATCTAAACAGATTATACGATCAAAACTATAGTTAACAATAGTTTTTCCCCGTAAAGTTTAGTTCGGTTAATCCTAGCTACATTATTATAAGATTTTGCTATTTTCGGTGGTTGTTAAATGTATATTTCTTGTTGACTTTAAAAGTAAAGGTTCTACTAGTATTATTTTAAAGAAATTCTAGTTGGAAATTTTAAAAAAAAATGTCAGAAAAATTAGAGAAATGCATGTTGACGGTCTGTAATATAACAAAGTAGAGAAGTTAAAATTAAGTCATTTACTTTATATGGAGCAGGATTTGTTGATGTTGTTTTGTTTGTTTGTTTGTTTGTTTTTTATTTTGTTTTTATCTCGAATTTCCGGCGTTGACACACATACGTACTTTATTGCTTCTCCCGACTGGTGCCGCGAAATTTTTAATTGAAAACTATATATGGTTAACAGTTAACACGGGTGCGTAGATTCATAAACTAAATTTATCAACTCTCAACTATAGTTAACGAATGGTGAATTATAGTTAACGACGATAAACTATGATTAGCAAATGTGAATCATAGTTATCTCTCGAAACTATAGTTAACGATCGATAAGTATAGTTTACGTCAGTTAAATATATCAATGATAGTCAACTTCAGTTTACAACCGAAATCTATAGTTACCAGATGTAAAACATAGTTTACTTGATAAATATAGTTTTGCGATTTGTGAAACTATGATTAACAACTCCTACTCGTAAGTATAGTTCAGAATATAAATTATAGTTTACAGATTTGAATCTGTGTTTCTCAACAAAATCTATCGTTAACGTTTAATTACAGATAGATAAACGTAGATTAGCATTAAATAATTACTAAAAAGAAAAAAAAACCAACAAATTTTAAATCTAACATATAATATTGTGAACAATTTTTAAAAATTATTAAAATAAGTGAAATATGAAAAACGCACAGTATTCAAGTTCAAATGTCAATTAAATTTAAACAATGCAAAAGGGGAGCAGAGCTAACACATACCTCTAAAACATCAGAGGTGGGATCATTTGTCAATACATGGAGAATTAGACGCCCCTTGTCAAACGGCCACCCAGTCCTGTGCTCCTTCTAATGACAAGATAGATAGAAAACTCTGGTGATAATTCAGTGTCTAACAAGGTCAGTCATCATTGTACATTCTGACAAAGTCACTGAAAGTAGAACTAGCTAAATAATGATTTTAAACAGACTAGTTGATATTAATGTTTCAATAGCTTACCTCGTAAGAAATTGTATACACAGAATATATTATGCTCTTGCGTTTCAACATATGCAGTTGATAAAGGTACTTATATTGCTAGTCAAGTAAGGGAAGATAAACATAGAAAAATTAAAGTCGTGATGACTCTATCGATCATCATAAAGTTTTGCTGTTAGATTACCATGTTACCGTCTTTTTCTAGCTAAAAAAAGTATATGAAACAGATATATCAGACTCTATGACATATTTTTTTTTTTAAATTCTTCCAAGTTCACTTTGATATATTGTGTTGACTCATGATTGGAAGCAACTATTGTTAACAATATTAACTTGCATCTGTTTAGATACACCACTGTGGGCCTTCCAGTACTAGATGCCACCGTCTTCATTGTTGTCGGGTTCGGGGGCCTTTCCATTATCGTGGCCCTCATACATAATGCCCTACATCGCTATTTCTTCAAGGATCAACACAGACTGGACACCGTGTTCGATGCGGGGGGACGGGTGACCACAAGTCTCACGGCCGTGACCGTAGCCTCCCAGGTTCTGTGGCCCGTGGATCTGGTCCAAACATCAGTGATTGCTACAAAGGTAAGGTATTCTCATGTAGGAAATTAGGCTGGACTGAGGACATCGGCCTGGAGAGCTCAGTGGTTAGAGCACCTGACTAGAAATACAGGGGTCCCGGGTTCGATTCCCCGTCCAGCCATATGTGTTCAATATATATGTATTTATGAATTTTCAATGTATGTTTACTCATTCCTCCTTTCCATACTACACTCATATAATCATCAGAGAAATGTGTGTAGTCATAGCTGAACAAAGTAAATTTTTACAGATACTAAAGCTGGCAATTGTAAGGTGAATGAAAAAGAATATACAGTTATAATTATTAAACATACCTTTTTTATTCTGAAAGGCAGATGTCATTCTTTTGTGGACGGATTTGGAAATATACAATTCAAACAAAATTCAAGTGATAAGCATTTCGATTACTTATCCCTTTCTATCCTCAAGAATAGTTCAATTTATCAATGTTCCCCGAATTTATACGTAATCTTTCTCATATCAAGTAAAATGAAGACCTTTATCCTTCATTACTTCGGGTTTTTCTATTTTTTCCCTTTAATTCATTGTCATGCACGGTTATCAATTTATCAATTAATTTTTATTACAAGTTGCAATTTTGTGTTATATAAACTGTGTTAGACAAAATGAAGAATGTTCCTGATCATGACAAGAAGCGCACGGCGGGTGTGACCGATCGGCAGGGGATGCTCACTCCTCCATGACACCTGATCCCACCTCTTATGTTTTTCAGGTCCTTGTTTTCTCTGTTCCTATTTTGTTTTGTTTTATGGACTTTTAATCTTTAATGCTGTTCGTTATATCCATATGTTTCATTATACGTGTATGTGACGTCTACAAGGATCTTTAAGAAAAACAATAATATTTTTATAGTTATCTATTTGATATTTCTTTGTTTTTCACAGTCTGGACTTGGAACCATCTACTTCTATGTGGTTGGTCTGGCTATGATCATTGCTGTGTTTCCATGCTTAACTCTCAACTTTAAGACAAAGGCCCCAGGTGCTAAAACTTATCCACAGGTACTGTTATGTTTTATCAATTAAAAAAGAAAATATACATATGAGAATTACTCAAAGGATTGTTATTTAATATTCAAATGTTGAATATAAAGAATGCTGTATAATCATTTAAGGTATATCACTCGTGAAATTTGTTAAATCAAGGATTTATTGAGAAGTATATTTTGGATAAGTACTCATATAGAGTGACTCAAAGTCACAGAGAAAATAGGGGGTTAGTGTTCATCTTATTGATCTACGGTACAATGAAGTTGACCTTTTTGCACTTAAATTTTAATTCTTTGGTTAATTACTTAAACCTTAATTATATTTTATCAGATGTAACCATGGCAAAAAATATTATCTTATTTTGCGTAAAATATTTTGAATAATATTTATCGATGAAAAAATCTTGCAAATTAATGCGCGTAAATTATTGTGTGACCTTTTTGCACTAAAAAGTAACATATTTTGGGGTATTAAAAAGTAAATAGGCAATAAAACATTTCCTTAAATCAAGCTTTTTAAGACTTAAGTGCTGATCAGTCACAAGTATCGAGTACTTTAAAATAACGAAAGAAAAAGTTGGGGTCAGTGCTGTTAATTTTGAAATATTGGTCAAAATATGTGATTTTCAGGCAAAAAATGGTGTTAATTTTATATTGACTTATTTGACATATCTTCATTTTTTGGCAAAGTTTGTTGAAGGAAGGTGTAAAACTTGTTCTAAAAATATAAATTAAGACCTATATCAAATATTCCTAGCAATATCGTAGTGGAAAATATTCTCCGAGTAAAAGTATGTGAGGCTAAAAGACCAAGATATTAAATTTAATAAATGTGCAGATTTGCAGAATTATCTGCTAAATATCCTTCCAACACAAAAAGTAGTCCCTCACAAATCTTGCTTCTTTGTAACTTTTTGAGCATATTTTTTGTTGAATGTTAAAACATTAACATTGTTGAAATTAAATATGTTATAAAAATTGAATTTTGATAAGTAGTTTTGAAGTAAAGGGTTCTTTGTGAACTTTTCCAAAAAGCTGACGAGTGACCTACCTTAACTGATCTCTTTTATACTCATAATCATATATAGCAGAAATTATTTGAAAAATCTCTTTAAACAAAAGAGATATCTCTTTTTGTAAGATATCTCTTTTACTGAGAGAGATATCTTTATAAGTTATAGAGATATCTCTTTAAGCGAGAGAAATATCTCATAAAGTTAGAGATATCTCTTTAACAAGGTTAAAAGAGATATTTTTCTTAGTTTGAGAGATATCTCTTTAGATTTTCAAAAAGAGATATCTTACTAAGCTTAAGAGATATCTCTTTTAATGAAAGAGATATCTCTTTTCCAGTCATCCTTTAAATAAAATAATCAATTCCCCCTTTTAAAACGACAGCGAAACAGAAAGTAAAGTCTCTGGAATAATTTCGCTGTCACAAGAAAAAAGACTGAGCATGCAATTCCCAGAAACATATATGCACTATGTAGACAAAGATGCTATAAATCCTTGGTGAAAAAATTGCTAAAAGTTTAATATTCAGGAAAACGAAAGTAAGCATAAAATCTCAAATGCAATGGACCGAATTTTCTCAGCTTATGAAATAATCAACTATTACTAATTTGAAATCTAGACAACACTGAATTACTTGTCATGTTTAGTAAAGCTATAATGTAGAATATCATGAATATGTCGAAATTTAAAAATACTTTAATGTACTTCCGTGAATAAAAAGCTTACTTCCGGTAAAGGGAGAAGTCATTTCAAATGGAATTTAAATACAAATAATGAAGAGAGATATCTCTTCGCAATAAAGAGATATCTCTTTTTGCTTGAGAGATATCGCTCTTAGACGACTTTGAAAGATGTCTCTTTCACTTTGAGATATATCTGTTAAGATAAACTAAGAACGATATCTCTTTTACTTTGAGAGATATCTCTAACTTGGAAAGATATCTCCAAAAGTAAAAGAGGTATCTCTCTAGGTGAAAGAGATATCTCTTCAACGTTCAGAGATATCTTTTTTCACAAAAGAAATATCTCTCAAGGAGATAGAGATATCTGTTAAAGTGGAAGAGATATCTCTCTTATAAAAAGAGATATCTCTCTAAGTGTAAGAGATATCTCTTTCTTTTAAAGATATCTCTAAAAATGAGAGATATTTCTTTATAGTTTGAAGATATCTCTATATTGTAAAAGATATCTCTCTAATACAGGTATCTGTTTAATTCTAAAATGAATTTTATTTCCGAATAAATAGCAAAATGGCTTGCCATACATATCCCTTTACTTAACAGAAACACGAATGTCTTTTGACATCAGACACGAGTTAAACGTTTCCGCCCGTCCTCTCATCTTTCAGTCTTCCCGTCCTCTGTTAATCATTAAGGTTCATAAACCCTCTGCTCACTCATGTAAATTTTTTCTTTAACTTTATATGTTTTTCCAAAAGAAATGTATATACTGAATAAAACACAAACATTTAAAGCATGCCTTGCGGGGCAAAATTTGACAAAAAAGGCACTTCAACTTGACAAATTTATATGGGAATAATAGACATTTGTGCCATTAAGAGTTATCTCTCCAAAATGGCGCTTGAAGTGAGAAGCCGTGTTTTGTAGGGTGCGGAGTTTTCGGCCGGGAATGAGTGTTTAAAATAGAAGTGGGTCCCTGAAAAGTTTTGAAGGCTTCCTTTGTGACTGCTGGACTATTGCAAACGTAATAATTTAATTTTGCATGCTTGTGCAGACGTCTTTTCCAGTTTTGAATTGTGTAGAGCTGCCGTGAATAGTGAGTGGAGTTACTATAAATAGACAATGTCGACTAGTCAGGCAGGTGTCCTTACACGAAACATGAGCACAGGAGGCGAAAAATCAAATAAATCTAGCTCAAAGCAGAGTCCAGTATTGAAAACACCAACAAAAGGAGGTGAGGGTGAGTGGACACAGATTCAAATTCAATTAAAAGAAATAAAAAGCGATTTAAATAAAACTTTGAAAGCTGACGATGTAAAAGAGCTCATTAAAAATGTAGTCGAGGAAATGCTTCAAAAACATCAGGATAAGATTGAGAAAAAGTTCAACGATAAAATTGAAGGTTTAAAGCAAGAAAATAGACAATTAAAAGACAGTATTGAAAAACTGGAAGCCGATAAAAGGGCAATTAAACGTGAACTCGATGAGAGCAATGAAGCGTTAAACGATTTACACAATCGATTTGAGGAGAATGAAAACATGGCTAAAGCCGCTTTCGCTAAGGCTAACCAAAACGAGCAATATTCACGAAAATACAATGTTAAATTCCATGGTCTCCCCGAAACCGAAGGAGAAAATCCCCTGGAAATTGTCAATAACGCACTAGCAGAAGTAGGGGTGGAAATTCAAGGCAGTGATGTTGTGGCCATTCACCGAATCCCCGGAAAGCCGGACGAACACAAACCCATAATTGTAAAATTTCTCAACATTGACTCAAAAATCCGTGTCATGAGAAAGAGATCAGACATAAAAGAATTAAAAAAGGGTTGGAAGGTGACTGATGATGTACAGGTCTGGACGATTTCTAAATATGGAAGTCAAGAACGATAACTGAAAGTTGCTATAAATATACAACATGTACACGTTATTATTTTTCTGGCCAATCAGACAACAGTATTTTACACACCCCAAAACAGATTTTAAAAGAACAAAGAGATAACACGTGCTTTTGTTTTTTTCCTCAAAAAGATTTTTTTAACAAAAAACCTTTGGAAGTAAGATGAAAACTTTTGAAGAATACGGTATTCCCCACATATTTACCGTGAACAACAATGACATTTTTATCTCGATAACGAAATATGAAATAATGCATGATACAATGTAATTGTTTACGGAGGAACAAATCACACTAGCAAATGCTTATCAAGTTCAATTATAAAAATTACCAGAATAAACTATATGTTGGAATACAATTTTGCTTAGACGTCCGATTTTCATCTGCTTGAATTCCATGTGTATAGAATAGATCCACCTCACACTTGTACACGTAAGTGTTTATCGTATGGACTACACATAGTTTTAAAATATCACGAGTTTCATGAGCGCCGAATGTTTATTAAGCTATGCAGCCTTACGGCACCCATAAGGAAAGGCGTAAACATGGAGGAAAGAGAATGATAATACATGAATGCGACTTATCCCAATATCTTACCTCGCATATATGAGAAACTGCATATGGATGATTTTGTAACAAACACTCAGAAAATAATAAAGACAAGCATCCATTCAATAAGATGTTTATGCCAGGCTAAAAAACTGAAAATGTTCCGTATTTATATCAAATTTTTAATGTTAGATTAACTTTTGGGATTCCTACCTCCTATAGTGACAGATTTTATTCCCATTTAAAACGTATTCTAAGCTTTCGAGTCGTGTTTGTTCACGGTAGAATTGTCATAAATATTATATTATTCTTAAATGTGCATAAAGTTTACAAAGAGTTTGTTCTAAAAAAATCTTTTGGGCAAAAAACTTTAAAACCACGTGTTTTATTTATTTGTTCGTGGGTTTGTCTAGATGCTGTTATCTGATTGGTCAGAAGGACTAGCACCTTGTTTATTCTGTGTATTTATAGCAGTTCATGGTTATCGCTCTTGACTTCCTTATTTAGAAATCGTCCAGACCTGATGTAACAAAGGCAAACGTTGATCTTATAATCGAACTGACCAAGGATCCCCGGATAAAATCAGCCTGGTATTTTAATGGCTCGATCTACGGACAATATGGGACCAAACGCGTGAAGTTTGACATTTTTGACAATATCGAACGCAAACTGAAAAACAAGTAACTTTTCTTTTCGGAAACTCTTTGGTCCAATTGGTATCTATTTGACATTTACAAAGATGAGGTGTACTTCCGGTGTTGAGAAGGTAAACAAAACTTGTTGTTGAACTCTGTCTCGTGCCGTTCAAGGGTCACAAGGAACTAAACTTTTTTTCTCATACTTTTTTGTTTATTTTTTTCTAGTTATGTTGTGTGA